GGGGGGGGGGCCCAGGTCAACTTTTGCATAGGGGCCCACAAGCTTCAAGCTATGCCTCTGAGCATACCTTACTTCCATACCTTGCTCTTTGGATGCTTTTAGATTCCTGAATGAAACTGCAGTTTTCCAGTGTACTTACCAAGCATTTTCCTTTGCATTTTCTGTTTTGCATAAATAGGCTGTGTCAAGAAATTTACTTGAAGGGTGTAGTAAAGGTGTTTTCCTGTTACAGGAAAACATGAAAGCTGCCATGGCTGACCTATCCTTCTAGAAATTCTAGTTGCATTGCAATCATGCTGACCCTATTGCTTCTGGATCACTGATCCAGAACAAATATGCAGAATTGTACCTGAATCAGCAAATCAGAATATTTTAGAAGATCACATGTCAGCTTAACAGTCAGATGGTTAGCATTTTCAAAGGATGTCAGCAATGGCTACTGTAACAATAAATATTTTTAACATCCCCTGAGACTTGCAAAATGTTTTCTCATGTTATCAGGAATGCTTGTAAATTTGCTTACTTCTAACTAGTGAGACAGCTACAGGAATAGGGAGATTTTCGACCAACCTTTTTAAAAGTGCTGATTTTTAAATATTATTAAATATTTAAATATTGTTTTTAGAAACAATTAATTGCAAAATGGCTTTTTCCATATACATTCTTTAAAACAGTCTCTTTTTAGGATATATTTGACTGAATTTGGATGGGTTATTAAAAACCTACTCGCCCCATTCCTGTAATCAGCATACGTAGACAGGTTGTATTATTGTGCACTGAAATATTAGTTAATTAAACTATCCAGAACAGAAAAAGTCTAATTAGGTAGGCCATATGGAAATCTTATCAATAAGGAGTTAATGTATTTTTTCCTTTTTTTATATATAATCTGTACCTGAGGTGTCAAAAAATTTAACTTTTAGATCAAAAGGATGACATTATGTCCCAGCACCCATTAACCCTATTGTAGATACTGAACCACACACAGTGAGGCTAACCGTCTGTGCTAATCTGTGTTAAATTAATGAGATGTTAAAAGAATGAGGCAGTGGTTAGAAGCTTGATATAATGTGCTTTTCTCACTGCAAGCTGTGGGGTAGTGGGGCACTCATGAATTAGCCAGTTTTTAAGTACTCATTTTACATTTTATCATTATGGCTGTGGGCTTTAGCCTCAGCAGGTGACTGCTTTTTAAAGTATCTGTATATATTTATTATATAACAGAGTACATGGTAGCCCATTGCAAAATTAAGGTCCCCATATACATTAACATCGTCGTAGAACACATTAGATTGCGACTTACCAGGTGATGTGACAGGTCATGCTGAAAACAAAGTCTCCATACCGAAAAATGATCATCTGATTTCAGTTGCTTCCCTTGCAAATATTGATACAATGTGATGCCTATTTCCTTTAAGAGCCCAGCCTATCAGCAGAAAATATTTAAAGCTGAACTCTAGGCATGATCTTAATTGCATACTTACATTGGTCCAGCTGGGATCAATGAAAGTATGCATATCCAATGCCTAAAGAACCACTGGGAAGCTGACAATCACTATCGTAGTCAGCACTGTTACAAGGATTGCAGCAATCTTCTGGGTCTTGTGCCAAGGGGATTAAGTTCTGCTGACGTTCACAGAACACAATATTTTTTTTTTTTTTCAATGAATACATGGCATTCTCTGATTAGCACTGATTGCACACTGTGCATCTGGGTCTGTGCATTTGTCTCTGTGTACCTGTCAGAATCAGACCTGCTGGTGAGTCTTTACACCTGCTATGATTCCACTGACAAAACAAGGCTGCCTACAAGCAGCTCTTTGCTGCCCAAAATGAATAAACGGCTGTTCAAATATAATCAATTGATTCTCACGCGCAGCCAAAAATAATATAACATGCTATAATGACTTATTCACTGGGTGTAACTCAATAACTACAATCCAGAAAGCAGCTCACACTTACACATACGCATTACATGTGTATAATCTAAATAAATAAACATACAGTGCTGATATGGGGAGGAGCTTGATGACATCATGACACTCGCGGTTTGCCGATACACTAATACTACACATCAGGGTAGTGGAGGCTACCTGTATATGTTTATGAAGGGTAATTTTGGATCCATATGCACATATCAGTTGCGATTGAGCACCTACAGTTGTGTTCAAAATAATAGCAGTGTGTTAAAAAAAGTGAATAAAGCTCAAAATCCTTCTAATAGCTTTTATTTCCATACTCACAAATGCATTGGGAACACTACACATTCTATTCCAAATCAAAACATGAAGAAAAATATATCAAATTTGTGTTGTTCCTCTAAAAAAATTGAAGAAAAGTGAATATTAGACTGTTCAAAAAAATAGCAGTGTTTGTATTCTTCTTTACAAACTCAAACATTCACTATATAAACTGAAAAATGTTTGAAGATTTTGCTTTCCTTTGAATCACTTAATGAATATTTAGTTGTATAAGCACTGTTTCTGAGAACTGCTGTACATCATTGTTGCATGGAGTCAACCAACTTCTGGCACCTGTGAACAGGTATTCCAGCCCAGGATGATTGGACTACATTCCACAGTTCTTCTCTATTTCTTGGTTTTGCCTCAGAAACTGCATTTTTGATGTCACCCCACAAGTTTTCTATTGGATTAAGATCCGGGGATTGGGCTGACCACTCCATAACGTCAATCTTGTTGGTCTGGAACCAAGATGTTGCACGTTTACTGGTGTGTTTGGGGTTGTTGTCTTGTTGGAACACCCATTTCAAGGGCATTTCCTCTTCAGCATAAGGCAGCATGACCTCTTCAAGTATTCTGATGTATTCAAACTGATCCATGATCCCTGGTATGCGATAAATAGGCCCAATACCGTAGTATGAGAAACATCCCCATATCATGATGTGTGCACAACCATGCTTCACTGTCTTCACAGTGTACTGTGGCTTGAATTCAGTGTTTGGGGGTCGTCTAAAAAACTGTCTCCGGCCACTAGACCCAAAAAGAACAATCTTACTTTCATCAGTCCACAAAATGTTGCGCCATTTCTCTTTAGGCCAGTCAATGTGCTCTTTGGCAAATTGTAACCTCTTCAGCACGTCTTTTTTTCAACAGTGGGACTTTGCGGGGGCTTCTTGCAGATAGCTTGGCATCACATAGGCATCTTCTAATTGTAACAGTACTCACAGGTAACTTTAGACGTTCTTTGATTTTCCTGGAGCTGATTGTTGGCTGAGTCCTTGCCATTTTGGCTATACTTCTATCCATTTGAATGGTAGATTTTTGCTTTCTTCCACGTCTTTCAGGTTTTGGTTGCCATTTTAAAGCATTTGCGATCATTTTAGCTGAGCAGCCTATCATTTTCTGCACTTCTTTATATGTTTTCCCCTCTCCAATCAACTTTTTAATCAAGGTACGCTGTTCTTTCTGAACAATGTCTGGAACGACCCCCATTTTCCTCAGAATTTCAGAGAGAAATGCACTGTAACCAGCATGCACAACATTTGCTGCCCTCCTTCTTTAAATAAGGGCAATAATTGCCACCTGTTTTTCAAAGAATGAATGACCTCACTAATAGAACTCCACACTGCTATTATTTTGAACATGCTCCTTTCAATTAGTGATTCAATTACACAGAATCAGCAGCATGCATGTCATGACTGTTGGGTCTGTTGGATTTCTATTACTCTACTACACCTGCTAGTAAATTATTTGCCATGTAGAAATATCATTTCTACCAAAAACAGTGATTGATCAGGTTAGTGATATCTGACTGCTATTATTTTGAACACAATGTGTACCGTATTTTTTGCTCCATAACACGCACTTTTTTCCCCCAAAAAAAGGGGGGGAAATATCAGTGTCTTATGGAGTGGCGGGTCCAGTATTTCTGCCACCGCCACCGTGTCAGAATACCGGGCAGGCCAGCCGCTCAGCTCTTCTCTGCAGCAGGACCTTACCTGTTCCTCAGTCCAGCGCTGTACAGTCTTCCCACGCCGGCATCTGTAATGTGGGCACCCGGCTGTGACAGCCGGGTGCCCACTGCGCATGTGCGAGAAGCGCTGCACTTTGTGAATGCTCCGGCGTCTTCTGGGACACGACAGGTCCCAGAAGACGCCGGGCCATTCACAAAGCGCAGTGGGCACCCAGCTGTCACAGACGGGTGCCCACACTAAAGGGAGGACAACTCCACGGAAGTGGGAGCAGGTACCTGTCAAATTCAGGTACCCGCTCCCCCTCCCTCCCCAAAGGTCTGCAGTCTCTTGGTCATCCCCTGTACTGCCTGCAGTCTCATGGTCATCCCCTGTACTGTCTGCAGTCTCTGGTCATCCCCTGTACTGTCCGCAGTCTCTTGGTCATCCCCTGTACTGTCCGCAGTCTCTTGGCCATCCCCTGTACTGTCCGCAGTCTCTTGGCCATCCCCTGTACTGTCCGCAGTCTCTTGGCCATCCCCTGTACTGTCCGCAGTCTCTTGGCCATCCCCTGTACTGTCCGCAGTCTCTTGGCCATCCCCTGTACTGTCCGCAGTCTCTTGGCCATCCCCTGTACTGTCCGCAGTCTCTTGGCCATCCCCTGTACTGTCCGCAGGCTCTGGTCATCCCCTGCACTGTCCGCAGTCTCTGGTCATCCCCTGCACTGTCTGCAGTCTCTGGTCATCCCCTGTACTGTCCGCAGTCTCTTGGTCATCTCCTGTACTGTTCGCAGTCTCTGGTCATCCCCTGTACTGTTCGCAGTCTCTGGTCATCCCCTGTACTGTCCGCAGGCTCTGGTCATCCCCTGTACTGTCCGCAGTCTCTGGTCATCCCCTGCACTGTCCGCAGTCTCTGGTCATCCCCTGCACTGTCCGCAGTCTCTGGTCATCCCCTGTACTGTCCGCAGTCTCTTGGTCATCCCCTGTGCTGTCCGCAGTCTCTTGGTCATCCCCTGTGCTGTCCGCAGTCTCTTGGTCATCCCCTGTACTGTTTGCAGTCTCTTGGTCATCCCCTGTTCTGTGTCCGCAGTCTCTGGTCATTACCTGTTCTGTGTCCGCAGTCTCTGGTCATTACCTGTTCTGTGTCCGCAGTCTCTGGTCATCCCCTGTACTGTGTCCGCAGTCTCTGGTCATCCCCTGTACTGTGTCCGCAGTCTCTGGTCATCCCCTGTACTGTCTGCAGTCTCTTGGTCATCCCCTGTTCTGTGTCCGCAGTCTCTGGTCATTACCTGTTCTGTGTCCGCAGTCTCTCTGGTCATCTCCTGTACTGTGTCCGCAGTCTCTGGTCATCCCCTGTACTGTCTGCAGTCTCTGGTCATCCCCTGCACTGTCTGCAGTCTCTGGTCATCTCCTGCACTGTCCGCAGTCTCTTGGTCATCCCCTGTACTGTCCGCAGTCTCTGGTCATCCCCTGTACTGTCTGCAGTCTCTGGTCATCCCCTGTACTGTGTCCGGAGTCTCTTGTCATCCCCTGTACTGTCCGCAGTCTCTTGGTCATCCCCTGTACTGTCCGCAGTCTCTTGTCATCCCCTGTACTGTCTGCAGTCTCTTGGTCATCCCCTGTTCTGTGTCCGCAGTCTCTGGTCATTACCTGTTCTGTGTCCGCAGTCTCTGGTCATCCCCTGTACTGTGTCCGCAGTCTCTGGTCATCCCCTGTACTGTCTGCAGTCTCTTGGTCATCCCCTGTTCTGTGTCCGCAGTCTCTGGTCATTACCTGTTCTGTGTCCGCAGTCTCTGGTCATCCCCTGCACTGTCCGCAGTCTCTGGTCATCCCCACCTGTACTGTGTCCGCAGTCTCTTGGTCATCCCCTGTACTGTCCGCAGGCTCTGGTCATCCCCTGTACTGTGTCCGCAGGCTCTGGTCATCCCCTGTACTGTCCGCAAGTCTCTGGTCATCCCCTGTACTGTCCGCAGTCTCTGGTCATCCCCTGCACTGTCTGCAGTCTCTGGTCATCCCCTGCACTGTCTGCAGTCTCTGGTCATCCCCTGCACTGTCTGCAGTCTCTGGTCATCCCCTGTACTGTCCGCAGTCTCTTGGTCATCCCCTGTGCTGTCCGCAGTCTCTTGGTCATCCCCTGTGCTGTCCGCAGTCTCTTGGTCATCCCCTGTACTGTTTTCAGTCTCTTGGTCATCCCCTGTTCTGTGTCCGCAGTCTCTGGTCATTACCTGTTCTGTGTCCGCAGTCTCTGGTCATCCCCTGTACTGTGTCCGCAGTCTCTGGTCATCGCCTGTACTGTCTGCAGTCTCTTGGTCATCCCCTGTTCTGTGTCCGCAGTCTCTGGTCATTACCTGTTCTGTGTCCGCAGTCGCTGGTCATCTCCTGTACTGTGTCCGCAGTCTCTGGTCATCTCCTGTACTGTGTCCGCAGTCTCTGGTCATCCCCTGTACTGTGTCCGCAGTCTCTTGGTCATCCCTGTACTGTGTCCGCAGTCTCTGGTCATCCCCTGTTCTGTGTCCGCAGTCTCTGGTCATCCCCTGTTCTGTGTCCGCAGTCTCTGGTCATCACCTGTTCTGTGTCCGCAGTCTCTGGTCATCTCCTGTACTGTGTCCGCAGTCTCTGGTCATCATCCCTGTACTGTGTCCGGAGTCTCTTGTCATCCCCTGTACTGTCCGCAGTCTCTGGTCATCCCCTGTACTGTCCGCAGTCTCTTGGTCATCCCCTGTACTGTCTGCAGTCTCTTGGTCATCCCCTGTTCTGTGTCCGCAGTCTCTGGTCATTACCTGTTCTGTGTCCGCAGTCTCTGGTCATCCCCTGTACTGTCTGCAGTCTCTTAGTCATCCCCTGTTCTGTGTCCGCAGTCTCTGGTCATTACCTGTTCTGTGTCCGCAGTCTCTGGTCATCTCCTGTACTGTGTCCGCAGTCTCTGGTCATCCCCTGTACTGTGTCCGCAGTCTCTGTCATCCCCTGTACTGTTTGCAGTCTCTTGGTCATCCCCTGTACTGTCCGCAGTCTCTTGGTCATCCCCTGTTCTGTGTCCGCAGTCTCTGGTCACTATACTGTGTCCGCAGTCTCTGGTCATCCCTATACTGTGTCCGCAGTCTCTGGTCATCCCCTGTACTGTCTGCAGTCTCTTGGTCATCCCCTGTTCTGTGTCCGCAGTCTCTTGGTCATCCCCTGTTCTGTGTCCGCAGTCTCTGGTCATCACCTGTTCTGTGTCCGCAGTCTCTGGTCATCTCCTGTACTGTGTCCGCAGTCTCTGGTCATCTCCTGTACTGTGTCCGCATTCTCTGGTCATCTCCTGTACTATGTCCGCAGTCTCTGGTCATCTCCTGTACTGTGCCCGCAGTCTCTGGTCATCTCCTGTACTGTGTCCGCAGTCTCTGGTCATCTCCTGTACTGTGTCCGCAGTCTCTGGTCATCTCCTGTACTGTGTCCGCAGTCTCTGGTCATCTCCTGTACTGTGTCCGCAGTCTCTGGTCATCTCCTGTACTGTGTCCGCAGTCTCTGGTCATCTCCTGTACTGTGTCCGCAGTCTCTGGTCATCTCCTGTACTGTGTCCGCAGTCTCTGGTCATCTCCTGTACTGTGTCCGCAGTCTCTGGTCATCTCCTGTACTGTGTCTGCAGTCCATTGGTTCAGAACATTTTTTTTCTTGTTTTTCTCCACTAAAACCTAGGTCCGTCTTATGGTCAGGTGCGTCTTATGGAGCAAAAAATTCGGTATTTTAAATGATAGAGACAGAATAGCTACCAAACATCCAGAAAAAACACGATACAAATGTTATAATTAGTTGAGTTGTAGTTCAGTGAGTAAAATAAGTATTTGATCCCCAAGCAAAACAAGACTTAGTACTTGGTGGAGAAACCCTTGTTGGCAAGCAGAGAGGTAAGACATTTCTTGTAGTTGGTTACCAGGTTTGCACACATCTCAGGAGGGATTTTGGTCCACTCTTCATTACAAATCTGCTCTAAATCCTTAAGGTTTCTTGGCATTTGCTTGGCAATGGGAAGTTTCAGTTCCCTCAATAAATTTTTTATAGGTCTCCATGACTTTAATGTGCTTCTTCTTGAGCCACTCCTTTGTTGCCTTGGTGGTATGTTTTGGGTCATTGTCATGTTGGAAGACCCATCCACAACATGTTCTGGTTCTCATCCAAAATTTTACAATACATGGCCCTGTACATGGGCCCCTCAATTTGGCAAAGTCAGCATGTACCTTTAGCAGAGAGAGAGCCTCAAAGCATAATGTTTCCACCTCCGTGCTTGACTGTAGGGATGGTGTTCTTAGGGTCATAGTCAGCATTTTTCTTCCTCCAAACACGAGTCAAGTTAATGGCAAAGAGCTACATTTTGGTCTCATCTTACCACAGCACTTTCTCCCAGTCCTTCTCTGAATCATTTAGATGTTCATTAGCAAACTTCAGATGGGCCTGTATGTGCCTTCTTGAGGAGGGGGACCTTGCGGGCGCGCTGCAGGATTTCAATCCATGGCGACTTATTGTGTTACCAATGGTTGGTTTGGTGACTGTGGTCCCAACTGCCTTGAGATCATTGACAACCTCCTCCCGTGTAGTTCTGGGCTGATTCCTCACTTTTCTCATGATAATCCCTACCCCATGAGGTGAAATCTTGCATGGCGTTCCAGACCGAGTGTGATTAATGGTTATTTTGTATTTCTTCCATTTGCAAATAATCGCTCCAACAGTTGTCTCTCACCAAGCTTCTTGCTGATGGTCTTGTAGCCCATTCCAGTCTTGTGCAGGTCTACAATCCTATTTTTGACGTCCTTTGACAGCTCTTTGGTCTTGCCCATGGTGGTGCCCAAGAAAGAGATTCTGTGGACAGGTGTCTTTTATACACGACGAGTTGTCGTTAGAAGCACCTTCTTAAATTGACAGGACTAATATTTGTACCACATGAGCACATAGCCAGTCTGTGGGAGCCAGAATTATTGTTGGTTGGTAGGGGATCAAATACTTATTTTACCCACTTAACTGCAACTCAATTTATAACATTTGCATCATGTGTTTTTTCTGGATTTGTGGTTGATATTCTGTCTCTATCATTTAAAATACACCGATGATAAAAATTATAGACCCTTCATTTCTATCTAAGTGGTCAAACTTACAAAATCTGCAGGGATCAAATAATTATTTTCCTCACTGCAGCTGCACTCACAACAATCTCAATACAGGATAGATAAAAGAAATTATAGTGTTGCGCTACCCCTTTAGAATCTTAATCTCTTCCATACAGGGCACTTTTACCCCCTTCCTGCCCAGGCCATTTTTCAGGTTTCAGCGCGCTCACACTTTGACAATTGCGCGGTCATACAATATTGTACCAAAACTAAAACGTTATAATTTTCTTCACACAACTAGAGCTTTCTTTTGGTGGTATTTAATCAACACTGAGGTTTTTATTTTTTGCTAAATTGACAAAAAAAGACTGAATATTTTGAAAAAAAAAAAGTTTTTCTTTGTTTCTGTTATAAAAGTTTGCAAATAAATAATTGTTCTTCATAAATTTAGGCCAAGATGTATTCTACTACATGTATTTGGTGAAAATAACCCAAATTAAAATGCATTATTTAGTTTGTAGGAAAGTTATACAGTTCACAAACTATGGTATATATCTGAATATTGATCAACCCTGAAGTACTGACGGCCAATCTAAGGTCCAAGAATGTCAGAACAGTACAGATATCCCCCAAATGACCACTTTTTGCAAAGTAGACAGTCCGACGTATTTCATAAGAGGCATGGCGAGTTTTTTTTTTTGACGTAATTTTTTTTTCATAATAAAAAAAATTATTTTTTTACTATTTTTTTTTTTACATACTGTCACCAGTTCAGTACAGTGTCATCATATAAATGGCATGGCGGTGATCAGGGACACTGACTGGTGACAGTACGAAAAAAATTTTTTTTTAAATATTTTATTAGTTTTAATTTTTTATTAAATTTTTTTCTCTTTTTTTAAGATTTTTTTTTTCATATTTCACTATGTCCAAAGTAGTATAATGTTACCATAGTAACATTGTACTACTTTGGGGAAGTGATCAGTATTTTTAATTTTTTTTTACATAATTTGCTTATAGCAAAGAATTACTTTGCTATAAGCAAGTATTTACCTGAATGACATCGTTTCATTCAGGGTTTTTCTTTTTGTGCTTAACTGTGATTTGGTCGCGGAAAATCACATGACACAGCTGGGCTGTGATTGGCTCAGCTTGTGCATGTGATCGCTGTGACCATTCACAGCTAGACACACTAGTATACAATGGATGGCATGAAAGGAAGCCATTCATTGTATACAATTGTCATGTGACCTGCTGTGATTGGTCACAGCAGATCACATGGTACTGGAAACGGGGCCGGTACACAGATCTGTCATTGGCCGTGTCCGAGGTACACGGCCGGTGACAGATCGTGTTGCAGAGCGGCACTGTGGGCAGGAGCACTGCACATGCCTGAAAGGATGTCATATGGCGACCACCCGGAGGGACGGGGTGTTTTGCCGGCCGCCTTTGTGCTATTGGCCGGGTGGAAACCGGATAAACTATCCATATATATCAATGTGCAATCATATACAGTATTTTGACTTATAAACTAAAAAAACCCCATAAAGAGTCCACTGAAAACCCTCAGTGTGATAAACAGAAGTTGCAGCAATATCTTCCACAAATGTGATCACTTCCGTGCTCCACCACCTGTGCATATACCAGTTGCTTACCAAAAGCATTTGACGCCCAACCAATTGCCAACCCCTTGATGATGTCCCATGTGATGAAATGCATTGGGCGGATGTCATCATGCTCGCTCAGAGAAGCGGCAGCACTGTTTTACTTGCTGACTCTGCATATACTTGTCTATGACTTAATAGTGTGGCGATTTTAACCTATTCCCTCCTGTCGTATATGTGGCCTCTCGCAGGTGGACTTTAATGCTGAGAGGCCACATATATGTGGCTCTATGTAAACACAAAACTGTGCTGAGAGCGCACGCCCAGCAGTTACAGGTGGGGACGGGAAAGCTCTCGATGCATACTTGCGATTGGGAGCTTTCTGATCATATGACCGCTGTGACAGCCAATCACGGCAGTCACATCACCTGAATGCCCAACTCCGGGCATCTAGAAGTTCTTAAAGGGCAAGCTGGTGGCAGCAGGAAGGGGTTAATACAGTGTTTCACTATGTAGTTTGTCTTTATCCTGGCCCTGGGTACATTTCCATATGCTGTCTGCAGTTAGCATACTTGCTGAACTGAAGAAAATCTAATGCCAAACTAACACACACTGATCTAGTGGCTTCAAAACTTAGAGGTACTGAACTTTTATTAAAGCTAGGAAGATCGAGGAAGCTGAGATTTTCTGGTCAGAAATGGCAGACTACATATTGCACTCAAAAATGTCCTTAAACATATTGAACTACTCTTTCTGAAAAGTAGCATAATCTACCAGAATATATA